AGGGACGCACGAAAGTGTAAGATTCAATTTTTTCCCCTCCCCCTTGCCTTCCTTCTGTGCCAACCGCCAAAAAGCCAAGAATCGCGGGACCGCCGGCGGAGGGGGGGAGGGCGAGCGGAGGCAGCGGCGAGCCCCGTTCCTCCCCATCCCGTGCAAGGAGCGCGAACAGGTGTGAGAAGGGGGTCAAACCTGCGGGTCGGTGCCGGGGAACCTCCAAGCTTTGGGGGTGGGGGGGAGGAGGCAGCAAAGCGAGGCAGGAAGGAGAGCGCGGCTTGGCGAAGTACTCGGCGGCGAAGGCCAGCAGGTCCGGCGGCCGGTGCCGCAGCACCTCCACCGTGTAGCCCTGCAGCAGCTCAGTCAGACCCAGCGGGATCTCGATGCTCATCTTGTAGCCGAGGCGCGCGGGAGACTCAACGGACGGGCCCGGGAGAGAGAGAGAGAGACACGACGGAGAGAGAGCGGGAGTCCCTGCTCGCCGTCGCCACCGCTACAACTACTGTGGTGGTTGGTCGTGGTCGCTGCCGCCGCCGCCGCCCACCTCTATCTATCTCTCCCCCTCAGCTTTCTACGCGGGCCTCGAGCCGGAGGTGGGGGGTGGCCGCCGCCGCTTTCTCCGCCTCCACGTCCTGCCTCCTCTTCCTCGAGCCCTCCGTCAGCCCTGAGGGAACCGCCGCGCTCGCGCCGCCGCTCTCTGACACGCGAGAAAGAGAAAGGAACGGAGCGGCGGGGTAGTTGGGGGAAGGAGGGGCCAGAATGGAAGCGCGAGGCGAGCTGCGCATGCCCAGCAGGAAGCGGCGGAGAGCGCCACAGAGAGAGAGAGAGAAGCAAGGGAGGGCGGGGAGTGGGCGGGAACACGCTTCATGCGTCACAATAACGGACAAGAGGCGCTCGAGGGATAGATTAGGACCTAATTTGACTTTTACAAAAGAAAAAAAAAATCTTTCGAATTTTCCCCACGGCACACCAGGCAACATCTCGCGGCACACTAGTGTGCCGCGGAACAGTGGTTGGGAAACACTGATGTATGCTACAACAGCGGCAAGAGTCTTCTTAGCACAAGGATGGAAGAATGAGGAAGTCTCAACGAAAGAACAGTGGCAAGAAAGACTGATGAGCTATGTGGAAATGGCAAAGTTAACATATAAACTATGAGAGAAAGAAAACCGTGACTTCAAGGAAGAATGGGAACTTTTTACAAACTATTTAAAAAGACAACAAAAGGACTTGGATTCCTTGGCAGGTTTTGAATAAACATCCACAAATTTATTAGTAGAACATAGGATAGATAACGTAATGATATGTATAACTTTTTAACATGCAGAGAATAATATGTGCAAACAAATCAGAGAGGGGAGCTGAGGGAAGTCTCTGCAGGGTGGGAAAGGGAGGGATGGGAGGGAATAAAAAGGGGGGAATTTGTTTGCTAAAATTGCTCAATGAAAATACATTAAAAAACAACAACTTCAGTAATCCTTGTAAGGCAGGAGTCCTATAATGTAAGAGCAGATTATTATTCCCATATAGCAGAAACTGTTTTCTCCTTTTCCTGTCTCCCACAGTGTTGAAATTTGGATTGTAAGCATTTCCCCTGCATATGTAACAACAGTCCATGTACACCGAAGTTGCTATATAAAGACTTAGAAACAGCAACTCAAATGGGGTCAGTCTAGTAACATGCACATTTAGATCCCTTGGTGTACTAAGTCTCAAGTGAACAGTGTCTCATATGAATGAGGCTTCACTGCACAATAACTTAAAATAAAATGCTGCAAAGTTTTGGGATTTAAATTCCTTCTTCAAATGTCAAACAGTACGTATGTCATTGGCAGTGGCAGAGCTTCATGCTCCGGCACCGGGGGCGGAGAGCAGGCAGGGGCATGGCGCCCAGTGCGGGCGGGGGAGCAGCCGCAATGGCGCCCTGCCGGGATCACGCTGCCGAGGGCGGTGCGCTCCCCCCGCACTCCTCTTCCTCCGCCAGTGGTCATTGGCAATTAATAAATAGCAGTGAATGCACTTGACACTATCACTACCTCTACAAACAGAGACTGTTGCCATTCAGAATTACCATGAATTACAAAGAAAAATAAAAGTATCTACCCAGCCAGGGGCCAATGGCAAATTATCAAAGTAGCAAACCAGTGCCAAATGAAACTAGGTGAAGAAGCAGTTCCCATGATCGCTTAACCAACAGTATCCCATGCAACCCAACCAGCAATCAATGCAACCAGCATTCTGCTAACAGCTGAAGCCTTGCATTTGGTCCAAAGAAAGATGTTCTTGGCAAGGTCCTTGGAATTCTGTAGGATTTGCAGAGCCAATCTTGTTAAGTTGCTCCAGTACCAATTTGTGATGGGGAATAATGTGTACATTAGTGAGCCACGTACTGCTGATGAGCGTAAGGAGCACGAGTGAAGGAAAACAAAGTCCACAGTTATCATAACCTTCCATGGGAAGAAGACCTCTGGGAGGGAGGGAGGACCAGCTAGCTAGGATCTCACATCAACTGCCCATAGGCTATCAGATGTAAGGCCATAGAAATGCCTATGACAGCAGGAGGGGGAACATACGATGAATTAAATAGTAGAAGTTTCATTCATAGTTGGCATACACATTTACTTAGGATGGAAGGCTTTTGGAATCTGCTCCCACCTTCATTTGACAATCTGTCATCCCCAGGAATCAGGGCTCTACCCAAAATTGCAGGAATGCATGAGCCTTTCTGATGTCTTCCCTTGTTTCTGTTGTGGTAAAGGGAGACAGCAATGGAGAAGGCTACTGGGAACCATTGCAGCAGGAACTGAAGGCTTTGCAGGCAACACCACTTTCATTATCATATGCTGCAGCCTAGGTGCTGGGTGACCCCACCCAACCTTAATATTTACTATTCTAGCAAGTGGCACCAGGCTTCATTTCATGTGTGGCCATTAAAAGCACTGCTGCTCAGACTTTTGGTACCGTGGCTTGCTCCGTCCTAGTTTATTAACGAATAAAAGGTGGCAAGGTAAATCTTAAGAGCTTTCCCCCTATCAACACAAAATGCAACATTTCTTCTGAGCTGTTTGTAGTTCACTGGACAGAAGCAGCCAACCTGGTGCCAGAAGCAGGCAGTGTGGTGCTCTCCATACCTCTTGAATGACCACTTCTATCATCCTTGACCATTGGCCCTGCTGGCTACAGCTGGTGGGAATTGTAGCCCAGAAATTCGGGGGGGGGACCAAGCTGGCTACCTCTGTCTTAAGTCTCATTTGCAGCTGCAGAGGTAACAAGTATCCATCTATTATTGGGTCAACTTATATCAGATGGTATAGGCATTTCTATATTTGTTAATAGTGCCTATGTCCTACTCAGATGTGCAGATGACACAACATTGATGGCAGAAAGTGAGGAGGAATTAAAGAACCTTTTAATAAGGGTGAAAGAGGAGAGCGCAAAATATGGTCTGAAGCTCAACATCAAAAAAACGAAGATCATGGCCACTGGGCCCATCACCTCCTGGCAAATAGAAGGGGAAGAAATGGAGGCAGTGAGAGATTTTACTTTCTTGGGCTCCATGATCACTGCAGATGGTGACAGCAGCCACGAAATTAAAAGACGCCTACTTCTTGGGAGAAAAGCAATGACAAACCTAGACAGCATCTTAAAAAGCAGAGACATCACCTTGCCAACAAAGGTCCGTATAGTTAAAGCTATGGTTTTCCCAGTAGTGATGTATGGAAGTGAGAGCTGGACCATAAAGAAGGTTGATCACCGAAGAATTGATGCTTTTGAATTATGGTGCTGGAGGAGACTCTTGAGAGTCCCATGGACTGCAAGAAGATCCAACCTCTCCATTCTGAAGGAAATAAGCCCTGAGTGCTCACTGGAAGGACAGATCCTGAAGCTGAGGCTCCAATACTTTGGCCACCTCATGAGAAGAGAAGACTCCCTGGAAAAGACCCTGATGTTGGGAAAGATGGAGGGCACAAGGAGAAGGGGACAATGGAAGACGAGATGGTGGGACAGTGTTCTCGAAGCTACCAGAATGAGTTTGACCAAACTGCGGGAGGCAGTGGAAGACAGGAGTGCCTGGCGTGCTCTGGTCCAGGGGGTCACAAAAAGTCGGACATGACTAAACGACTAAGCAACAACAACAACAATGTCCTACATGTTAGAATCTTTGATGATGAGGATAATCAACATCAATATTAATGCAGCGATATCAACTTGGCCACAAAGTTGCTATTGAAGTCTAAAATAAATACAAATTATGGGACCAGATCAACTTGAGATTTACTTAGCTGATTCCTAGTTCTCGCTTTATCCGGACTGTACCACTATAGAGTGCAGGTTGGGACTCACGTGGCAACTCCTTGCACACAGGAAACTAGCATGTCAGAAAAGAGGTTGAGCTAAAGCCCTTTTAAAGCTAGAAGTTACCTTTCTGTGTGCAGAGAATTCTTGTTCTTTGGATAAAAATCGCAGCCCAAAGTTAAGTGTTAAAAGAAACTTTTGATAGTAAGAGCTGTTCAACAATGGAAGAAATCCCCGGGGTGGGACTAGGGGTCTCTCCACGGCTGGAGGCTTGATGGCCATCTGCGTGTAGTGGCCCCATCGCAGGAACCCAGCGCTAAGCAGCTGCTGGAATTCGGTGAAGTCCCAGGTCCCTTCAAACTCTAAAAACTCTACACTTCTGTTGAATCCTATGTCTGTTTACTCCAAAGTAAGCACTTCAGTGTTCAATGGGGTTTACTCTCCAGTAAGTGGGTTTAGGATGACAGCTTTAGGGCTTCACATCTCACAAGCCATCTCACAGTGGGGAAAAGTTGTAACTCCCAGCCTTCCTAATTCAATTTTAAAATGCAGGGCACCACTGGGAGTGGAACAGCTACTACAACATGACTTTCTATATTACCAAATACCTGACATGTGAATAGTGATTTTTCTGGGTTGTGCATCCTTTGTCATGTGGTGCTGCATACTGGTAGCAACAAACATTAAATGAAAGTGCAAATGCTGCTTGCCGGTCAAGGACGTCTGCCTCCGCTTCCTCCCAGGCCGACTCTTCTTCCCTGCCATCTTTGAGGGTTTCTCAATCACTTTGCCATTGTGGCGAGCTTTGGGTTCCTTGGCTGAGGCTCGGTTCATGGGCTGCAAGGGTCTGGGAGCCTCTCTGACCACACAAGTATGGTAAAAGGGGGGGACATCGTGGCCCTGCAACTCTTCCCACTGCAGCAGGCCTTCAGTCGGAACCTCTTGCCAGAAGTCAAAGTTCCACCTCTGCTTTGCCTTTTCCATGCTAGTGCACAAGATGCGCTGGATGTCCAGCTGCAGATTACTGTGGTCCACAGGACCAAAAAGATTCCTTCTCACATGGTTTGTTTTTGCACATCTCCTTGGCTCCACCTTCTCTCCCTTCCGCCTGTCCTTCATCACAGAGCAAAGCAGCAGTTCCCTAACAAAAACAGAAATACACTCACTGAGATCTTTTTATCACACAAAGCCAAAGTGTTGCGTGCTTATGGAGACATAGCCAGAGGAGGCAGGTTCTGTGAAGGCCTAGTCACTGCCCCCCGGAAAACACCAAAGCCCTCCCTTAAGTTTTCTGTTCTCATATTTTTGAAAGCTACCTGCTTCCCTTATATATAAGGAAAAGCAAGCTGGCAGTATTCTCCCCAAATAGCTGAGTAGTAATTGAACCTGCAGGCAGACTTGGATTTGCAGACGACTGCTGCAGATGATCTTGGCTTGGAGGGACAACAGTATTTTTCATTCATTATAGGGTGCCACAGACTGCCATCTTCATGTGCCTGCATACTGGAATTTTAGGTTTGCACAATTAAAGCGGATGAAAGGTTTCTGTCACCTTAGTGCAACAAACCCAGTTTAAAGAAGAATCTGACCTTTTGTTTTTTGGGAAGTGATGGGGAAATGCATTGAAAAGAGTGGGATGAAGGAATGATATCCCACAAGGAAACAGTCACAATGTTCAATAAAGACCAGCTACAATCTAACTTCCACGCAAGTTTTATGCAAGCAAATCAGGATGAATGCTCCATAGAAAGTTCATCTGGAGGGACCCAGTCTTGTTCTGCTATTGCTCCACTCTGTTGCAAGAGGTCCTTTGCTCTTAATTCAGCCTTCAAATTCCTCCCCACAATATGTGTGCAGGCAGATCCTATGCATGTTTATTTAGAAGTAACTCCTACTTTATTTAAGGGGGTTTACTTTGAAGTAACCTTATATGTGTCTACTCATAAGTAAGCCCCATTGAGTTAAATGGTGCTGACTTCCAGGACTGCTGTTTTGAGGTTCTGCTTAGGGTTTTACTTAGCAAAAGGTGTTTACTCTGAAATAAGTCCAAGTTCAGTGTGAATAACTCCCATGTAGCTGTGTATGGGTTCAGGACCTAAGTGCCCTGAAGGATTTCCACACCACCTACTTCTGCACTCAAAGTGCCAAGGGAGAGGGCCACACCTGCACGTTGTGAAGGATCTGGGATTTCCTTGCAGGAAAAATTAACTTGGGCCGAAGCAGTTAATTAAGGAAAGTAGAACTCTGAACTTTTGCAAGCTCTGCAAAGTTCTACTTGGGTACTGGGGAGGACCCTAAAAAAAGAGCCCAGTAGCAAATATTATTTCACGTTCTCTTCTATTTTCCCCCAAACACAAAGCCATGCAATAAAAGCATGAAGCCGCTTCATCGCCGCCTTTCTCTTTTTTCCCCGCCATGCGCCTCCCACTCTGCTTACCCGCAGAGCCACCTCCATGGATCACGCAGGCTGCTATCCCAACCTGCCCCTGCTCAGGCTGAAACTGGCACGCCATTCAAGTTTCCCCCAATCTCTGCTGCCCCCAACACAATTTCTTTCCCAAGAGACTTTTCCACTTAATTGCACATTTCCCTCCTGAGCTGCCCTGAGCAGCCTCCTCCCATTTTAAACCGGTCTAAGGTTTCTCCCTTTCCTTCTCACTCTGCTTTTGCCTTGCAGCTTTCCCAGTTACTTGCAAGCAAAGGGCACCGACTTAACCACCTTTAAGCTGCATGTTTTGAGTTCCCCTGACCTCTATGGCAGGGAGAAGTGCCTATGTAATTTCTACTGAAAACCAATGTTTCTAAGTGTGCTAAGCAGTGTGCCATGACACCTTGGGGTGACTTGAATGCTGTCCCTCTTTCCTTCCCTCCCTCCTCGGAGGCCCTCTCGCATCTCTGCCTCCCAAAGGCTTGCACAGCTGTTTGTTGCAGCAGCCCTGGCTACAAGCTCCCCAGGGGAATGGTGCCTGGGGCTGGCCAGGGGTGCTTCCCAGGCCCCGGTGGGGCAGTGTGAAGAGGCACCCCTTTTGGGGGGAGGGAGGCAACTCAGAGACCAGGGGTGGCAGCTGCAGCTGCCCAGAGAACTCCCAAGGAGAGGGGAGAAGAGAGAGGCTGCCGGCTCTGCAGGCAAGGGGTGACATAACTGGGCTCCTGAGTCCCACAGGGGTGCCACAGAAAGAATATGGTTGGTCAAGGGAGCCGTGGACCCAAAAAAGGTTGAAAACCTCTGCCTCACTGCAGCTTACTCCCAAACAGGCTTGCAGAGGGCTGCAGGTTAATGCTGGCTTTGAAAACTCTTATTAAGAAGATGGCATGTTCCTGGAGCACAGCTCACAACATGCTTGGAGACTTGCATGCACACTAGTCCTTTAAAGCACATGCAAAACACATTCCTTCCCTCAAAGAATTCTGGGCACTGTAGCTTACCCCTCCCAAAGTTGCAATTCCTAACAACCCTTAACAAAGTACAGTGGCCAGGATTCTTTGAGGTACAGAAGGATGTGTTTCCAACGTGGTTAGCAGGCATAGTGCGTATGCCACAATCCTGCTGAATTTGACAAATCAAAGGCTGAGGACCCATACACACTTATCTGGGAGTAGTTTCCACTGGCCTGTTCTACTTCAGAGTAGAAGTGCATGGAATTGCACTCTTACACATGCAACCCTGGCAAGTAAGCCCCCTGAACTCAGTACGATTTACCTCTTGGAGTAGATTTGTTTTATTTAAAAGCCTTGAGCTATGAGGGGCTGAGCAATGTGGGGCTTTGTAGGTTAAAAAAAATCACACTTTGAATTGAGGAATTGGGCTCAGAAACAAATTGGCAGCCAGTGCAGTTGGGCAACAAATGGAGTTGTATGTTCAGATCACCAGATCTCAATTGATAGTCCACTGAATTCTGCACTGGATACAGTTTTTGAGCAGTCTTCAAAAGCAGGCCAACATTACAGTGATCTAACCTAGAGGTAGAGAGGTTAATCTAATGACAGACAGGTGGTGCAGCATGTGATAGAAAGTGACTGAAAGACAGACAGTGTGCAACCCTATACATTTCTTCTCAGAAGTAAGTCCCTGGAGCTTAGTGAGACTTACTCCTAGATACTGTAAGTAAAGGATTGCAGCATGAGCTATGCATTAGCCTCACATTCAAATCAGCTCAGTAGGTGCCCTAGGGAAGCCCTGCTCTCTCTCATCTGGCTTATGGAATAGTAATCATAGAATCATAGAGTTGGAATAGACCACAAGGGCCATCGAGTCCAACCCCCTGCCAAGCAGGAAACACCATCAGAACACTCCTGGCATATGGTTGTCAAGCCTCTGCTTAAAGACCTCCAAAGAAGGAGACTCCACCACACTCCTTGGCAGCAAATTCCACTGTCAAACAGCTCTTACTGTCAGGAAGTTCTTCCTAATGTTTAGGTGGAATCTCCTTTCTTGTAGTTTGGATCCATTGCTCCGTGTCCGCTTCTCTGGAGCAGCAGAAAACAACCTTTCTCCCTCCTCTATGTGACATCCTTTTATATATTTGAACATGGCTATCATATCACCCCTTAACCTCCTCTCCTCCTTAAAGCCTTCTTGCAAGGATTCCAACAGGATAATGTGTGTGAAGCACATCAAACCACTGCCGGATTACCAAATAGGCAGAGTAGGATTACCAATATGGCGGATTACCAAATAGGTGGCTCAAAATAGTATCAATTTGATCTTGAAACAAAATTACAATCAAGCTTTCTTAGTTCCATGTTACCCCACTATAGCAAATGAACAAGGGAGCCCCTGAGATTCAGATTGCCTAGGGGCCTCCACAGGGTTTCAATTGGGCACTGCATCAAACACTTAACATACTCAGCAGAGTTAACTTTGGTTAGATACCCACTGGCCACAAAGCTCACCCTGAGCTAGTTGCCCCCCCCCTCTCAGCCTAGCCTACCTAGCAGGGTTGCTGCCAGGATAAAACAGGGAAAGGCCCTGAGCTTGTTGGAAGAATTGTGGGGTAAGGACATAAATGAAACAAACACACCCATTTCTACTCCCCCTTCATCACTCTGCTAGGGGGTCTAGTCGGTGTGCTAAGCTGACCGACTCAAGTCAGGTTTTACTTGGGCATCTGAAAAAACTGATCATTCACGAAGAGCAAACTCTGTCGGCTTCAGGCGGTTACATTTTGACAGGTCTGCCCCTTGGTTCTCCGAGGAAGCCAACGCGCCACTTCTCCCAGGAACTGGGCTTTGCCAGGAGGCATGTCTTTGACAGACATCAGCCTGGCACTAGGGGAGTCTCGAATGGCTGATTCCTTTCTCTGCAAGCAGGGTAAACACCTCTCCAGAGGCGGACTTTGACCCGCAAAATCTTGCTTTTCAGATAACCAATCCAACTTGCACAATAAATGGGAAGGTAATGCATTGGATACAAGCTGTTGTCATGTAAATATCTATATCATCTATCTATCTATCTATCTATCTATCTATCTATCTATCATCTCTATATATGTAAGCGTATTCAATTTAGAATGTACCATTTTTTCATCTTGCAAAACTGTGCAAACCAAGCCTTGTGAATTAAGGCCAAGGTTGCAGTTTTGATCCCTGTATGGGACCCCTGCATTGCAGGGGGTGAACTAGATGATCCTCAGGATCCCTTCCAACTCAGCAATTCTACGATTCTATGAAGCCAGGGTGTTGGCTTTTTTTGGCTGGGAACAAGGAGATGCTTATTTCCTTCTGTTTTAAAGTGGGCTGTTGTACACTCTGATCTTATGCAGGATTACCCTGAGGTAAGCCTGAGCTAAATGAGATTTACCATGCAATCCTACGCATATTCACTCAAAGGTCCGATGGTACTTACCTCAAGGTAAATTTTCCCAAGTTTACAGCCTTAGACCTAAAAAAAGCAGGCTTACGGTTGAAGTCAAGCAGCCTGACCCCATTATGCTTATTCAAAAAACAAGTCCCACTGAATGCTGGGCAAAAGATTCCTGTACTGCAGGCAGCTGGACTAGATGACCCTCGGGATCCCTTCCATCTCAACAATTCTATGCTTCTATGAACTCAATAGGGCTTCATGGAGGTGTGCTGTGCTGCTGAATTTATTCAAGACGGTTTCAAATAAGCACAGGATTGCGCTGAAAGTTGCACAAGGCTAAAGGAACAGATCTGGAGATTCCTTAAGGTTTGTGCAGCCGGGTCCTACCACCTAGTCACTTAAGATCAATCCCCGTTGCGCTAAGTGGGAGTTACTCCCAAATAAACTGTGCTTAAATTCTGTATATTTGTGGGGCCGCAGTGCAACCACCTTGCTTCGAGCTCCTCCAAGCTTACCCTTTCCTTCTCTGCCTGCATTGACCAAGTACAGTCATTACCTCGGGTTAAAGTAGCTTCAGATTGAGTGTTTTCGGGTTGTGTTCCGCGTCAACCCAAAAGTAAGGGAATGGGTTACTTCCAGGTTTCGCTGCTTTTGCATGCGCTCAAAATGACGTCACGCGCATGTGCAGAAGCGGCGAATCACGACCCATGCATGTGCAGACGTGGGTTGCGTTCTGCTCAGGATGTGAACGGGGCTCTGGAAGGGATCCCGTTCGCATCCAGAGGTACCACTGTATCAAATTGTATCCTCGAAGAGCACTATTTCAAACGTGTGCATACTGTACTGCATAGAAAACACACAGAAGACCTGGAAGCGCTCTCGTTATTTACTATTGAGAAGCAAGCCGATCACGCACATTAGCAAAATTCAACATGACTTAATGTTGCCGCGGTTGTTAAAAATCTCTTACTTTCCTAAAATATGTTTCAAATTCAATTATATATATATTTTTAATTCAGGTAGTAGCCATGTTGGTCTGACACAGTCGAAATATATAAAAAAAATTAAAAAATTGTCCAGTGGCACCTTAGAGACCAACTAAGTTTGTTCTTGGTATAAGCTTTCGTGTGTATGCCAGTATCTGAATAAGTGTGCATACACATGAAAGCTTATACCAAGAACAAACTTAGTGGGTCTCTAAGGTGCTACTGGACAATTTTTTGTTTTTTTAAGTTATCATGCACTTTTCAACAAAGGATTTTTCAAAGTGCAATATAACAAAACCACCCAAGCACTACACGCCCACGCGGTAAAGGGACTGCAGCATGCCACTGATCCAGTGTGCTCAGCACCAGAAATCCGGGGTCCCTCAATCCTGGGCGCCCGCGAGGCTGCAATTCCTCAGCGCTCCGGCGTGTCAGCGCGGCTTGCTCCCCAGGAAGCGGCCCGGCCTCGTCCTTCTGAAGCCGGAGCACCAGCCGCTTGCAGCTCTGCCTTTCCCGCGGGGCAAGGGCAGGCCGCTTACGTTGAATGCGGGCGGCGGCCTCGGCTGGGATCCCGAGGGAGAGCGGCGGGAAGAAGATCGGGAGCGCCGCGCGCCGGGGGCGCCTTCGGGCCACTCTCAAACTTCGCGGGGCCGCTCGGCTGACATCCAGGGCCTGAGACGGCAGGAAGACCAAGCTGCTGCAGCTCTTGCGCTTGCACGTCGGCCGGGAGAGAAAAGGTGGCCCGACCCCCCCGACCCGCTCTTGGCTCAGCCTCCTCCGCCCGCAACTCCGCGGCTTCGCTTCTCCTCGCCCGATTCCCTTTCCCCTTCCGGGCTCCCGCTGGCACGTGCATTTGCAACGTGACTCTGCCCCCCCCCCCCCGCCGCGCAACTGGGAAAGTTTTGCCAAAGAAAACCAGAGAGCGAACCCAGCGCCCGCTTGCAGAGGGACGAGGCGAAAAGACGATTCTGCACTGTTTTAAGACTTGCTGCTGAGATGGGACTTGGATTGGTGCAATTAAGTGCAGATCAACTGATTTAATTGCACAAGCCAATACCAGGTAGAAATACGAAAACTCTTCCTTTTAAAACATGTACGGTAAATACAGTAGTACGAAATGGCGAGATGCTTGAGGAGGGGAGAATGTTCACAAAACGGGAGAGGGGAACCACTTGTTTGCATTTGCTATAACTGAGTTCTCTGCAGAATTGAGAGTTAGCTACTTGTCTATGTGACCTGAAAGTTTGCATTTGCCTGCATTACAGAATTTGGATAATGTGTGATCATGAACATAAGGAGAGCCTTGCTGGATCAGAGTAGAAACTCTCTCAACTCTCTCGCCCCAGATGCCTATGGGAAGCTGCATGCCGGACATTGCAGGGGGTTGGACTAGATGACCCTCGGGGTCTCTTCCATCTCTACAATCCTGTGTTTCTGTGACATGAGCACCGCAGATTCTCCCCACTCATGGTCCTCAGAGGCATACCTTCTCCAAGACTGAAGCCACATCCATTATGATGAGCCTCTCTTGATAGCCTTATTCTCCATTCATTTGTCTAACTGCTTTTTAAAGGCGTCCGCGTTGGTGGCAATCACTCCGTCCTGTGGTCTCAGTTTCACAGTGTAACTGTGCACTGGCTTGTTTCACACATAATGCTAAGTCACAGTCGAAATAAACTTCATTTAAGTTGCCACAGGAAGGAAACAAGGTCAGAAGGGGGTCACAGTCGGGAAAGTGTTGGGAAATGCTTCTCTAGACAATACTGGCGCCCCCCAGATTATGAAAAATCTTAGCAAGTCACTTGTGGGAGAAGAACTAGAATGAACTATCAGTAAAGACACCATGCAAATAAAATTAAACTTCAGTATCTGGGTAGAAACACATGTACTCCCTTAATCATTTAGAGATGGTGAGTTTCATGAGAGAAGGCTGATAGCTTAGTAAAGTCATAAATCAAACTGGAACCTGGATGCAGAATACACCTTACACGTGACAACTGAGGACTAAGGATTCTTTATGTTAACTAATGGCACAACTCCATGGTGGAGCATTTTTGTCACCCTATCACTTGTTGACTGTTTGCTATACTGACGGGGACGTCTCTGCCAATCAAATGCCGCTGAGGTAAACCAGGCGCTGCGTTTGATTGGCAGAGACATCTCCGTGCCATGCTGAGGTGAACCAGGCTCAGTGATTGAGTGGCAGAGCCACCACTGCTCTGCCTCTTCCTCCCGCCGCCATCGCTGGGAGTCTTGGCTTCGCAGTGCGGGGTGTGGGCCAGATTTGCAACCCAGGTGGGCCTGATCTGGCCCCCAGACCTTAGTTTGCTGACCCCTGGATAAGAACATTATTTAAGCTTAAATATTTGGAACACAGGTGATTAATATAGTTGTGACCAAGATGGTGATGTTCATTTATGCCCAGGTTTAAAAAAGTTGCTCAGTTGCTGTTAGCCATGCAAGATCTGCATGTTCAGAGGCAGTGGACCTCTCCAGATGCTGGAGAGAAACAGTGGGACAACTTTATATTATCTGATGTTAAGAAGAGAAACAGGAGTATGTGTGTGAGAGAGGGGGGATGAAATGAAAATATATATTGTGTATACAAGTTCTGCGTCTAATGCTGGAGGCCCATTTCAAGTCAAAACAAGGTGAAGTCACATTTACTTCTCCCCAGGATCTTTATCCTTTGTTTCAGCAAGGGACTCACTTCCTGGAGCTGCCCTTTACCTGCCAGCCCTTTGACACCCCTTGCTGCACTCCCTTTCCAGCTTGAAAAACATTGCCACCTGCACCTTCCTTGCTTATAAGAGGCCTTGGTGAGGAAATATTCACAGTTTCTGCTTTCCCCTGCTTGGCTGCAATGTGACCACTTCCTCACATGTTCAAGTTGTTTATCTTAGCTCTTCCCTGCAAGTCCCTCAAAGTCTTTGATTAGTCATCTAGGCCAGTGTTTCCCAACCGGTGTTCCGCGGCACAGTAGTGTTCCGCGAGATGTTGCCTGGTGTGCCGCGGCGGCGGCGGCTGCTACTGCAAAGCAGGGAGAGAAGGAGGCGGCGGCGGGGAGCCGGGCAGGGAAGTTGCTGCTGGGGATGAAGAGGTGGCGGCAGCGGGAGGCGGACTTCTCTCCCTCTCTGGTGCTGCTGCTGTGAGGCGCTTGCCAGCCCACCGGCCCCTCCTGAGCGGGATATGGGTGGGCGGACGGGGTGGGTGGGGGAGAGGCGCCGGGCCCGCCTCGTGCCCTGACAGGAGCTGCCGCTGCGCCCGCCGGCGCCCTTGACGCGGCGCCCCTCATGCCGCCTCGAGAGGCGTTGGGGGGCAGCGAGACTCTGCCGGGCCCCGCCCCTCACTCTGCGCTCAGCTTCAGGGCTGTCTTGCGAGGGGGCGGCGGGAAAAGGCTCTGAGGAGAACCTCGCTCGCTGTCCCGCGTCGCTTTTCCTCACGTCGTTTTCCCTTTCCCTTGAGGGGACGGGGAGGTGAAGGGAGCCCGCCTTCCTCCTCGCACGTGGCGAGTCGTCGGTGGAGGTAGAGAAACCACGCACATTAGATCCTCCTTTCCCACACTGGATTCCGTCTTTCCCGTTTCTCTGCATGTGGCAAACACCTCCTAAATGCCGACCGCTGTGCAAAACTACACACAGTGATCAGGACGAGACATTAAAAAAGAACCAAGTCGCTTCTTTCTAACCAGATGTTCTTCCACTTCACACGTCCTTTTAAACCCATATTTATAAAACAACAAGGCGGCTGTTCAAAGCATATGTTTGATTGAATTAGGCTACTCATCTGGTGCCTTTGAAAGGCTGGCTGCTGATGAAATATTTATTTCATTTTCCTCATTTCCCCCCTCACAGCTCCCCCAAACTGTCCCCCCTCCCACTCGCCGAGAACTGTTTTCAAAAACTGCCGACGTGGAGCAAAGAGAATGATGCCTTTTTAAGGGGGCGGGGGGGGGATGCTATTATAACCAGAGCTACAGAATCATTTGGGGGCATGAATATTCTTCAAGGCACAGAGCACCTAGAGTCCTTTTAAATATTTCTAACTTTCACTCTCTCTGCTACCCCATGGTGCTACATTAGCAACACGGATATCTCATCAGCAAAAATGTAGCTTCCTCTGGGGGAGAGGAAAGCTGTTGATTGGCGCCTCTCACTCTCTCTCTCTCTCTCTTAAAGCAAAATTCGAATACATAGTTAAAGGATACCTTTAATAGGACAAGCAAAGCTCACAGTGTGATATGTGAACTTCCTGACCACTCAAGACTGTTTCCCAAGTTGATGCTCAAAACATTTTTTTTTTAAGTTACACTAGCTTGTCTGCAGGAGTTGCTGAAAGGAGGCATCCCTCCAAGTGCTGTAAGGACTCCACTCCAGATTTATGTGGTTTACTCCTCTTCCTTTTCTTCTCCAGAAGATGCCGCACAAGGCAGTGGGTAAGGATTTTTGCTCGGGTTTACTCCCACAGCTTTTCTCAAGAATCAGTAGAGCTGCAAGGCAGCAGAAGTTTAGGATCAGAGTTTTCCTTCTCCTAGATATTCATAATAATAATAATGGTTTGAAATTTAAGACTCCCCCCCCCCAAGGAAAAGGCACTTTCTTGCCCTGCCCATGGACCAGGAGGTCGCGGCGGGCGAGGCCTTCAGCAGCGGGGCCCTTATTTGCGCTGCCAGCCTGACCTTCACCCTCTTACATATAGAGAGGAAAGGAGACGCGGAGGTGCAAAGGCTTGCGGGGCAGAAGTAAGCCCCGCTGAGTTCATCAGGGGTGCCAACGTGAATACAGTATGATATGGGGGGGGGCAAGTAAACCCCGCCCTGCATAGTTGATCACATTGGCAATGCCCATCAACTGGGGGACTGGCCCCCTCAAATGTTTTATTGGGGGACCTGAAGCAGTGGCGTAGTGTGGGGGTGCAGGGGGGCCGGGCGCAACATCTTGGGGGGGGGCGCGCTCGCACTCGAGTGCTAAAATCCAAGGGTTAGGGACTTCCGGGTTGACGCGATCTGGAAATGGCGGATTCCCTCCGAGCTCCGGAGGGAACCGGCTCCAATGAGGATGGGTCTTTGCCGCGCCGGCGACGCGGGGACCCTTAAAAACCGCAGGCGCGAAAGCCTGCGGACTGAAGACTCGGCGGGTGCCTCAAGCGCCCCCCCTGATTCGCAAAGAGCCTTTTTAAAGGCTGCGGAGGGGATACGGGGGTGGCGTGGCACTGAGAGTCGATCGCTACCTCGTTGGAGCGAAGCCGCGAGCCAGGACCGGAGAGCGTTGACTTCCTTCCTTGAAAATTTGGACTGAAAGAATTACCCGTGAGTAAGACGGATTGGGACTTTTGAAAAATTTTACCTTTAATTGGAGACGACCGGGGGGTGTGCTAAAAGGAAGTCCGCACCCCCCCCCTTGCAGACCATCTAAGCAACGACACAAGAGATAAGCTGGAGAGCCTACCCTTGGCGGGGTGAGTTAAAAAGGACACTAACTTTCAAGATTTTACTAAAGGAAAATTTTGTGCAGGAGAGTGGAGTTTTGGAAACCTTCCTTCTGTTTTAAACAACCCCCCCTCCCGGGCTCGGGAACGTCCTGCCTTCGTGCCTGCGTTAGAGCTGCGGAGTTTGACAGCTGTCAAAGCTGCCAAACGGGCGGTTTAAAGCGAGAAATTGCCATTGAAGATTTTTATGGACTAAGACGAGTTATAATTGAGCTGTAACTGTTGGAAACAAAGTAATAATAATCAGTTTAAGGATTGTTGGTGAAAAGGCAAATAAGTAACCAGATTCCCCCTAGGGGGAACTCTGTGAAACTACAATGGATACAATGGCTGTGGAAGGAAAGTTACTAGTGGAAATCGAAAGGA